TCAAGTAATCTCAGTTCCAACCTGAACTTGGATTTGGGGATCCCAAGTGTCAGTGATCCCACCAGGCCGGTGGGAAAAGCCTCTCCTAACTAAAGAAGTACCTCTCATCCTGGCTGCAAGTCAGTCCCGTAAGTGACTGTCAAATGTAACAATCAACAGAGAATCAAAGACAACTAGGCCTGCAGGGAACTGAGGCACCCTGACCAAAGACGTCAGCAGGAAAAACAAACAGGGGACAAGCAAGTCTCCTGGGCCCAGACTCTTCCTGGCCGGGAGCCAAGGGCAAGTCATGGCCACCCCGTGACATACCTTCCCACAGCTTCTGGTGCCGGTCTTTGGCCTCCTTCTCTGGCTTCTCAGCCTCCTCCTTCAGCATCCGCAGCGTCTCCACCTGGTCCTCCAGGGACTTCTTTCCAGCCTGTAGCTCAGTGAGCTTTTGCTGGGTGGGCAGAAGGCAAGAAGCCAGCTCTCCTTCTGTTCTACCTTCTTCCGCACGGACTGCCACCCCCCAGCCTCTACCCCACAGAGCAGCCATGGGATCTTTCCAAAATTCACACCTCCCTGGATCTGCACCCCCTGCTCCCAGCTTTGGTTCCCTGCAGCTCACTGAAGAGAAACCCAAACACCTTAGTGCAGTCCCAAGGCCCCGTGCGACCAGGCCCCTGCAGCCTCTCCAGCTCCATCTGCCCCATTGCTATCTTCAGCTCCAGGACCCAACTGCCCTAACATTTGGACTTCCAAATGCCTTCTGTCTTCAGTTCTTCACACGTGCTTTCCTTCTGTCTGGAACACTCTGCTTGGCTATCTCTGAATTACTCCAGATTTCAGCTTTGAGGCCTCATCCTCCAGGAAGTCCTCCTGGCTTCCTGCCCCCAAGACCAGTAGGAAAAGGAGGGGACTAGGCAACAGTCTCCTCTGTGCCCAGCAACGCTGGGCATCATTTTGTCTGTCTCTCCCTCCTACCAGACAATGTACCCTTGAGGCAGTTCCTGGTGTGCTTCCAGCCTCATGCCCAGTACATGGCACATCCTAGGCCTCTGTATGCTGGACAGGCTCCAGCCTAGGAATGGGGTCCCAAGCTGTGGGGTCTTAGTCCGAGCACCCACAGGATCACTTTTCTCCCCAGAACTTGGCTGACACCTCAGCCTAGCCAGCTGCTGGGATCCTCCCAACTCCCCAGGAGGGCAAAAGTCACTTGGAGACATCCTCAGCACATAGCTCCCCCACTATCCCCTGAACTCAGGAAGGAGCTCACTGCCCCATGATTTTGGGAGAGACCTCCCTAGCCAGGCCATGGGGATGGGAGAGAAAGACCTGGAACCTTCCCTGGGCAGAGAAGCAGAGCTCAGAGGGTCAGGCAAAAGCCCAGGAGCACTGTTGGTGACTGTGACCCATCATACAGCCAAGGGTGTGACAGGCAGGGGAGGGAGACACACTCGTGGGTGTTTGCCCTCTTCCGGCTCCCAAAGCACTCACTCTATTATTGAACTAACTCAGCTGCTGCTGACTGACACAATCTTGAGCCCTCCCCCCAGTCACAGTCATCAGCCCCATTTATAGACGACAGAACCACAGACCTGGGACACAGAGAGGCCTCCCTCCTGTTCCAGGAGGCAGCGGAGCTCCCCCAAGCCCACTTCAGTCTGCCACCTAAAGCTCTAGTCAATGGTTGTGGTGACCCTGTCCACTTGGTAATGGCTTAACCAATGACTGAATGACAAGCGGACAAATGAGTAAATCAAGGCACAGAGAGTAACTGGCCCTAGAACACAACTTATAGGGAGATGTTGACACCACGCAGCCTTGGCAACCCAGGCCTCCAGGCCCAGACTGTCCTGGGTCAGCCCCACGGGGCTGCTCACCTGCTTCTCCTCCCGGGCCTTCTTCCAATCCTCAATAAGGATCTTCTTCAGGCGGAACCCCTCGCGGGTAACCTCTGCCATCTGCTGCAATGTCTCTCTTTCTTTGCGGCCCTTCTCTCTGGAGTGAGGAGACACACAGGCACCACCAGGGGGCACTTAGGACCCATTAGATCTGCCTCTTCAACCCCACCTGCTGCCCCCATATTGGGAAAGATGAGAGCAAACCCTCCTCCTCCAGCTCCCCAGGCGCTCTTCGCCTCAGAGCCCGTCCTTGGGAAGAGAGATAGCGGGCAGTTCATCACCCTCAGGGTCAGGAGAGGGACTAGGGGGTGCCGAGACGTGGAGCTGGAAGTTGGCTCCCAGCAGAGCAAGGAGAGGAAAGCACAGAGGTCCCAGACTCCTGGACCATCGGGCTGGTAAGTGTGTTGTGCACGATCAACCCTCTACTTAAATGAAATATCTTCAATCAAGACAGTTTACATAAATATCAGGACTTTCGGTTTAGTTAAAAAATGCATCAGGCCCTGTCACCTGCCATCAACTAACAGGAATCAAAGGCAGCTGTCCCTTTAGATGCCACAATCCCCTTCACTCTGTAATGCCTTACACTCAGCCTGCTTCTGCTGTTTAGATTACCTGCCTGTGGGCGTTTCAATTTTCAGGTCCTGCTCTACGGTGCAGCAATTAAAAGCATGGAGTCTCAAGTTAGACTAACTTGGGTTTGAGTCCCAGCTCTCCTATCTCTTAGCTACGTGACCCTGAGGAAGTCATTCTTTCGGAGCTTTAGCCGCCTTAACTGTTGAACACAAGTGATTGTACCTGCTTCCCGGCCAGAGGGAAAACTGGTGGTGGAGCCTTCCCAAGGCACCTGGCACAGAGTGAGCGCTTCATAAGCAAAAGCAGAAAAGAGAGGGGGCCTGATTCACCAGGTGGGGCAAGGCCCTGGGGGCGGGCGGAACCCACGTACTTGCAAGTGTTCTCACAGACGACCCCACTATTGTACTCGTCCGTCCCGTCGCAGCAGTCTGAGGGCAGAGGCAGGGGCGCCATCAGACTCAGCAGTGTCTCCTTCCTCCTTCCACCCACCACCTCTCTCCCCAAATCCAGTGGGATCTCATTTACCACACACTCCATCGTTGACCCATCTGGAGGAGATATACAGGGGCTTGTAGCCAGTATTGGTGCAGTGGAAGCTGCCATTACTACAGGCAGCTGTGCCTATGGGAAGAAAAAAGGGGATTTTCAGAGTGTGCCCAGGGCCTTACCCATCACATCCACCCAGACAGAACCCCCGACACATGTGCACACAGAGCACAAGAAAAGCAGAACCGCTGCTGAGTAAGGGAAAGAGACGGCTGCACACTTCAGGGCCTGAAACAAAACTCTCCAATGCTCCCTGCTGACTCTCCTCCCCAAGGCCCTCAGAACAGTGCCACCAACCATTCCCTCCCTCACCTCCACCTCTGTCTCCGTTTGCCCTTCGTCCCCACCTTCTCTCCCACCTCCGGATGCTTACTGGTGCCGGCCTCTCCATGTGCAGCACCCTTTAGGATGCAGCTGAGACCCCGCCTCCTGATCCCCTGCCTAGGTGGGGGTCTCTCTCCTCACCAAACCAACAGCCTCTCGTTTCTGTGCCTGCTCTCCCCTCAGTGAACGAGAAACAGGACTGGGTCTGTCTTAGTTACCACAAAGGACCTGGCATTCACCAGGTGCTCAATAAATTTATGATGAATGAACGGATGGAGAAAAACTCACCTGGCTCATCTGAGCCATCCTTGCAGTCACAGTAGTCATCGTTGACCTGATCAAAAGGGATGGTGGAGGAACCATCCAGGCAAGTGAAAGGCTTGGACTCATCGTAGAAATGATGGTCTGGGGACGTGGGAAAAAGAATCAGCCCAGAGCAGGAAGAGGCCGTCTCAATCTAATGGCACCTCTGCTTCCACCCACTGGCTGAGCATTGCCACCTTCCCCATCCAGAGTTGGGGAAACTGAGGCCAGAAGCTGTAAATGTATAACCACGGAACCACAGTAGACCCCTTCTACGCCCAAACACCCCCGCCCCCCCACGCCCCACATCCAGAGGCAGACTCACTGGTGAGAGGGACGCCCCGGGGCCGCTTGACCTCCACGGCCCAGCACACGGGGAGCAGAAGCAGCAACAGTAACATCTCGCCGGAGGCCGGAAAAATTCTGCGGAGGAAGTAGGGGATGGGAAGATGCGTTGTGCCCCAACGCTGCAAGAAGGGCGGCTGGTCAGCGGCAAAGCGCTACTTCCAGCCAAAGGAAAGCGCCTCTTCCTCTAGCCAATTGGATTCCTCCATCGCTTCCGGGTAATGGAGGCTCATAAGGGAATATATCGGAAGATATCTCTCCAACCCTGCCTAGTGGAAGGGTCTCACTTTGCTCATATCAATGGTGGGGATCTCAAAACCTCCGCTCCCTATGGGGGGGTGGTGAACTACCCAGCTCCCGCCAATACGCCGAAGTGGTTAACAGCCTCCCCCTCTCCCGACGCACACCCTCAAGGCTACCCCAACAGAAAATTGGGGTGCCCTCCCGCCCGCTAGTTCATCACCTACACGAGGCAAGGGCAAAGGTCAATATCCACCGCGCCCCCCTAACCCAGCAACCAACAGTTCTTCCGGCAGAAAAAAAGGCGGAAGTAACGTTATTTCCGGCACACGCTGTGCACCAAAACGGCGGTTCAGAGACGCCATATTGGGAGTGGCCAGTGGGGTGCCGGAACTAGACGGCCATCTTGGCTAGGACTCTGACGCCTTAGAGGTACTATTTCTTAAGGTTCGCGCTTAATGGCGGCCCAAGGTGCCTCCATCTTGGGAGTGGCGGGCTCTACAGTCGCAAGGGAAAGTTCCTGAAAAACGCCTGAGAACACCAAGTGGGTTTGGGGTGGGAGGAGAAAAGGGAAAAAAAAAAAAAAAAGGGATTAACACGTGACTCCAAAGTCGGAGCGACTCTGCTCCGCCCCGTGTCAGGACCACCCCGCCTTCGTGTCATCAGCCAATGAGAGCAGTGGTGCTGAACGGTTTCCATGGAAGCGCAGAAGGGAGGAGGGGAGGAGGTTACCTAGCAATTGGGAGATGCTACGAGACCCAGCCAAACCGTCGGAAAGTGCGTTCCCAGATTCAGAGAAACCCGAACTGACGGATCTGGGACTGGGGCGATCCCTAGTCGTCCATTTGGCCCCAGCCCAGTCATGACGTCTCCTCTGTGCAGGGCGGCCTCCGCCAACGCTGTACCTTCTCAGGACCAGCTTTCGACCTCTTCCAAAGCCAGGGGCAGTCAAACTCAGGCCAAACACCACCTCTCTTTGGCCAAGAATGCGGCACAGGCCTGGTCCCCGCTCTATTCCAAGAAGAGACCCGCCCATGCCAACGTGGGGAAGTCCTCTGTGCACACGCAGGTGGCTGAATTACAAAGGAAGATACAACTATTAGGTAAGATGGCTCCGAAGGACATAAAATGGTCAGGAGTCAACATTGTCCACCTAGCCCTCTGATTAGACACGGTGTGACAGGTGTGTTTTACTACCATTCAACCAGGTGGTTAGGTCTGGAGGCAAAAGCTGATGCTTGTTCATGGTTTTTCTCATCTTATAAAACTTTTTCCTGGACCCAGAGCCAACTAAACTGTATTTCATACTTTTGTGTATGTCACAATGTGTATGTTAACGATGACTACTGTGACTGCCAGGATGGCTCAGATGAGCCAGGTGAGTTTTTCTCCATCCGTTCATTCATCATAAATTTATTGAGCACCTGGTGAATGCCAGGTCCTTTGTGGTAACTAAGACAGACCCAGTCCTGTTTCTCGTTCACTGAGGGGAGAGCAGGCACAGAAACGAGAGGCTGTTGGTTTGGTGAGGAGAGAGGTCCCCACCTAGGCAGGGGATCAGGAGGGGGGGTCTCAGCTGTATCCTGAAGGGTGCTGCACATGGAGAGGCCGGCACCAGTAAATGTCGGTCATACTTCTGCATGATGTGGTGAAAAACATTGGTTCTAGCCCTGGCAGGGTAGCTCAGTTGGTTGGAGCGTTGTTCATACACCAAAAGGTTGTGGGTTCCATCCTCAGTCAGGACACATACCTAGGTTGAGAGTTCGCGCCCCAATGGGTGTGCATATGGGAGACAACAGATCTCACATTGATGTCTCTCTCTCTCTCTCTCTGAAATCAATAAACATATCCTTGGGAGAGAATTTTTTTAAAAGTTTTAGAGACACATTTTTCTGTGTTCAAATCCTGGCTCTGCATATACTAATGGTTTGATATTGGGGGACTAAGAGTAAACTAATTGTTCTCAGTTTCACCATCTGTAAAATGAACATAACAGTATCACCCCATAGATAGTTGAAATGTGTTAAGTGCTTAGAGCAGTGCCTGGCACATAGTGACACACTATAAACTGTAAACGAGTGGTTCTCAATGGAAGAGGACGGTTTTGCTTCCCAGCAGACATTTGGCAAAGCCTGGAGACATTTTTGGTCGTTACATTATTGGTGGCAGTGGATCAGGGCAGGGCTGCTGGCATCTAGAGAGTGGAGTCCAGGAATACTGCTCAACATCCAACAATGCACAAGACAGCCCCCACAGCAAATAATTGTACATCCCAAGTTTCAGTCATGCCAAGGCTGGGAAATCAATAACCATTACTGTTACTACTGTTTTATCATTGTTTGGGGGTAAGCTTGCTTAGTAGTTAAAAGGAGTCAGAATGCTTGTGACCTTGAACAATCTAATAAGCCCAAGCCTCAGTCTTCTTGCTTATAAAATGGGCATGATATGGATATTCACCTATAGCCACACAGTATTTTATACCTGGAGAGTTCTTAGTCTAGCATCCAACACGTAACAAATGCTCAAAGCAAAGTATTATGATAGCATTAAGTTGATGATTACAAAAAGATCATCCCGCTGGGAAGTCTCCCCCATCGCCCATGACACTCTGCTTGAACCTGCCCATGTCACATAACCCCAGAGGGTGACCGGAAGACCTTTTATGAGAGTACCCAGTGGAACATCAAGAAGAATCAGGAAACCATCAACCAGCTACAGGAGGAGACCAGGGTGCTGCAGCTTCAGCTGACGGACCTGCTCCAGGTGAGGGTACCAAAGTGGGTAAAACAGTTCCAGGGGTCAGGGCCAGCATTCCCAGCGGCAGGGCACTGCCTCAGGTACAGGTGGCCTGGTTAGTGGTGACTGGGCTCCTCTCTTTGCAGGGAGATGAGAAAGTGGTCCAGGCATTGATTTGGGAATGGAAGTCAGAGAAGCCATACCTGAAGAACCGGACAGGCCAGGTTTGCGCCAACCCTACTCCACTCGCCGTCTCCCTTCATTTTTTTCAAAAAGATTTTTATTTATTTTTAGAGAGGGGAATGGAGGGAAAGCGGGAGAGAAACATCAATGAGTGGTTGCCTCTTGACGCCCCCTACTGGGGACCTGGCCCACTCGCCAGGCATGTGCCCTGACTGGGAATCGAACCTGTGACCATTTGGTTCATAGGCCGGCACTCAGTGCGCTGAACAATGCCAGCCAGGGCCATCTCCCTTCATTTTCAGCCTGGATCCCCTCCCACTGGACTCCCTACCTCCTGCTCCTCTCTCTCTAGTCTTTTCTCCATACCAGCAGCTACTCATTTATTCACTTGAATTTTATCACACACCGATCATGTGCCTGGCATGGTATTAGGTGTTGGTGATCATGCAGGAAAACAACAACAAACCCAAGTCCCCATGCTGAGGTCATACTGAGGATTCACACTTTTTAAATTTTCATTTATTGATTTTTTTTTTTTTTTAGAAAGAGAGAAACATCATTTTGTTGTTCCGCTTATTTATGCATCATTGATTGCTTCTTGTATAGACCCTGACCAGGCATGGAACCCACAACCCTAGCATATTGGGACGATGCCCTAACCAACTGAGCTACCTGGCCAGGACTTGGGTGTTCATACCATAGACTGATGGGGCGGGGCGGGGCGGGGGGCGGGGGGAGGTCAGCCAAGACCTCCTCTTTAAGAGGTGCTATTAGAGCTGAGAAAGGGCCAGACAGGAAATGACCTGGGGGAAAACACTCCAGAGAGGGGGAGCAGCAAATGCAAAACCCCTGGGGGTAGGAACAGGTGTAAAGTGTTGGAAACGTGGGGAGGCCAGTGTGGCTAGACTGGAGTGAGGGAGGGAGGCTCGGTTGGAGGCAGGGTCAGGGAAGTCATCAGCGGCAGAATCTGGCAGCAGGCCTGCTGGCCACGATGAGGGGCGCAGGCTTTGTATCCTAAGACTCAGGGAAGTGGAAAAGGGACTGTGAGAAAGCAAGAGGGGAAGGTGGGTGGAGGTCACTGTGAAGAAAGGCGGTGTGGGGTACACTAGGGTGAGAGCTGGAAATAGGAAGAAAGAGCGCTCTGGGGGAATCTTTGATATTACTAACAAATACAGAATTACTAACAAATTCAATAGAGGAGGGAGGGAAAAAGAGAAGGTGCGATGGCGTCAAGGTTTTGGACTTGAGCAGTTGGAAAAATAGAGCTGCCAAGAGCTGAGATGGGGAAGATTTGAGAAGGGCAGGTTTGGAGAAAGATCTAGTGCTTGATTTGGCCACGATGATTTTGAGGTGCCTGTGGACACACCTGGGAGGCAGGTAGATATGGATATCTGAGCCTGCAGTTCAGGGGAAGATTAAATGTGGGTGTCTTCAGTGTATAAGCAGGTGATCTTTAAAACCTTGAGACTGCACAGGAGATCTTGCTGGGGATGGGTGTAGACCTAGGAGAGAAGACCCTGGGGCTGTCTCTCCAAGGCGAAGGAGACAAAGAAGGGGCAAACAGGGAGGTGGGTGGAAAACCAGGGAATGGGCTTCCTTAAGCCACCAAAGTAGGAAAGCTATGGGAGGAGGGTCAGCCAGGTCAGATGCTGCTCAGACACATGGGAGATGGGAACCAAAATATGGGAGAAGGAAGCTCCGGCAGAAGAACTAGGGGGTGGTTCAAATCTCTGCTCTGGCTCCCCTCCCTCCAGCAGGCCCTGGAGCACCTGGACCACCAGCTGAGTGAGAAAGTGAAGCAGCTAAATGCTCTGCGGCACCAGGTGGTGTTGCGGCAGAAGTGGCTGGAGGAGCTCCGGCTACAGCACAGTCTGCGTGAGCTGGAGATGACAGAGGCGCAAGATGGCAACACCGAGGTGGCTAAGGTGGGGTCAGTGAGGTGTGGAGGGGTGGGAGGTGGGCAGAAGCAGAGGGGGCGCTTAATCCTGGGTTAGAGGAATTGAGGAGTCGGGGGACTCAGCCTAGCCTTGCTTCCCCCTAGACCTTGCGGAACCTGGAGAACCGTCTGGAGAAGGCCCGGATGAAGGCAGAGGAGGCAGAACACATCACCAGTGTGTACCTGCAACTCAAGGCCTACCTACAGGTGGGGACCACAATGGCTGGGGAGGGGGAGGCAAGTGGGAGGGCCAGCCTGGCCGAGGACAGCTGCCACAGGCCTGCCCCACTCCTCACACCCCAGGAAGAGAGCCTTCATTTAGCGAACCGTCTGGACTCCATGGAGGCTGAGGTGGTGAAGACCAAACATGAGCTGGAGGAACTGCATGTGGTGAACCAGGAGGCACTCAATGCCCGAGACATTGCCAAGGTGCCAGCCCACTGGTCCCTGGGGATCCTGCCCAGATGCCATGGTCTCCTGGCCCCAGAATCTGAATCCCACCTGTCCCAGAGCCCCTCCCATCTATCTCCTAGGACCCTGAGGCCTGGCCCATTTGGGCCCACAGCTGCGGCCCTAAGCCATGGTAGATGCCAGCTGGCCCTGCTCTTCCCCTACCCGTCCTTCAGAATCAGTTGCAATATCTGGAGGAGACCGTGTTCCAAGAGCGCAAGAAGCGTGAGCACTACGTAAGTGAGTGCAAGAAACAGGCAGAGGAAAGGAAACTGCAGAATGAACGCATGGAGCGCAAGGTGGGTGCCCCCAGGGACGCCAGGACCAAGGCCCTGTCCTGCCCCTGCTGACCCCTGCCTGGTTGCCCTTACCTGGCCTGAGCCTTTGCCCTGGCCTCCCAGAATGGGTCCCACCCACTCCCTGACCCTTGTCCAGATACCCTTTCTTGGCCTCTGTCCTAAGCCCTTGTCTGAAACCTGACCCTGGACCTGACCTCAACCCGGAGCAGACCCAGCGAGAACACTTACTGCTGCAGTCTGAGGATATTATCCAGGACAGCCAGCGGGCCAAGGAGCAGGAGCTGCAGCTGCGCTGGAACATGTACCAGATGGAGGTGCTCTTCGGCAAGGTCAAGGATGCCACGGGGGTGGCCGAAACACACGTGAGTGCTGCCCATACCCCTCCGCGCCCTGGGTCAGTTCCTCAGCACATACACCTGCTCTCCTAAGACACCCCTTCCTCCTCCAGCTACCGCCGCGTTTTTCTGCTGCCCCGACGACAAAACCCACACCAATTGTCTGTACTCACCACCATCCCTCTTGGGTTCACTCTTACACCGGCGACGCTGACTTCTTTGGAATGTGGGCTCTGTGAGACCTGGGAGTTTTACTCCTCCTCTTCTGTGTCTCCGTCACCTGTAACATAGTCTGGGGTCTAGCAAGCTGCCTACTGCCACCCTAGGCCCAGGGGAAACCAAGCCCCTGCTCTGGGCCCATCTTTGCAATGTCTTCTTTGAAGTTTTCTCAGGCCCTATCTTCCCTGGTGGCAAACACCGATCCCACTGGACCTCAGTCTGGTTCCCCCTCTTTGGGCACGCTCCAGCCCGCTACTCCTCCCAGGGGGTGACCCCTGAGAAGTTCTAGGACTTGGACCTATGACGTCATCTGAGACACTGCAGCTGGTCGCCTTTTCAGAAACTGGCCTGGTGGGCAGATCGCTTCCATAGCCGGCCAATATTTCCTCATGCAACTGGGCAAGATTCGCCCCCACAATGTTGCTGGCACCTTGATTTGGGAAAGCAGCTATGGTCACTGCTACCTGCCTCATGACCAGGTAGCAATGACCATATTTTTGGCTGATTCAAATTCCTGATATAAAGAGAGAAGGGCCCAGGGAAAATTATTTGTCCTAGACTACCTGCCCTTGAGGCAGCCCTGAGTCCTACTCACATAGTCCCTAAACATCGCTATGCACAAGTCACCAGAGTAGGCCACCTGCGCTTCATGCCCTGGGGTTAAGGAAGAGGGTGACACCTGGGCCTGCCCAAGACCTGGCTCTGACTGGAGTTGGGTGGGCCCCAGGCGGTGGTGCGGCGGTTCCTGGCGCAGGGCGACACCTTCACACAGCTGGAAACGCTCAAGAGCGAGAACAAGCAGATGCTGCTGAGGCTGAAGGAAGAGAAGCAGCAATTGCAGCAGGAGCTCGAAGACCTCAAGTATTCGGGGGAGGCCAGGCTGGTGAGGTGAGGCCAGGTGTCCCTGGGGAAGGGTGGGGACCTGGGGGGCCACTGCGGTCCCAGAACTGCCTCTCCGCTCCCTGTAGTGAACAGAAGCTGCAGGCGGAGTTGCAGGGCAACCTCAAGGCAGAGGAGCAGCGGAGGGCTAAGGCCCAGGGCCAGCTGGAGCAGGCCGCGTGGGCGATGCAAATGCTGAAGGAGGGCCTGGAGCACCTGGTGGGCAAGCTGGAGCACATCAGAGTGGGTAGCCAGCTCCCTGAGGAAGCCCCACTGAGAACCACGCAGGACTTGAGAGGCAACGCGGCCCCTCAGGTGAGGTCTCTGCCCCACAGCCCACTCGAACCCACCCCATGCCTTGTCCAAGACATCAGAGGCCCATCTACAGGGGAGTCCCTTACTCCTTCAGTGGCCCAGGATTTCAGAGACCTGTGCCTCCTCAAGTCCCGCCCCCAGAGGAAAGTCCCAACTTGTCCCCCGACCCAAAACCTCAGAGACCCTGCTGCAACCCTGAAGCAGCCGGCGTCCTGTCCCCAGCCAAGTGCCCTTTCTTCAGGTGGTCCCCGCAGTGGTTTCTCACGAGTTACTGTGCTCTCCCTCCCAAAAAGACCTCCCCTGCACTCCTTGTCCTGTAGTTCCAGTTCCCAGGCTCTGTCCTCAACAGGCGTGGTCCTTGACTGTGGGAGGCCCTGCCACAGAGAAGAGCACAACCTCTGTCTGGGGGTCTTTATAAAGACCTGACCTTTGGGAGTAAATGCCCATTCCCTGGGTGTAACCCGCACAAGGCCCCACCCTCTCCCGCAGGAGGCCGGTCGCCCCACTAGGAAAGAGCTGGATCCCAAGGCAGGTGACTATCTGCCAAATCTGCTGGGCCTGTTGGAGGAAAAGCTGCTGAAGCTGCAGGCGCAACTCGAGGGCCTCGATGTGCCAGAGATGCTGCGCCACATCGCGGATCGAGAGGTAACCATGCAAGTAGGGGACTTGGCTGAGGGGAAGGGGCCTGACATCAGGGAGCTGGGGACGACTCACGGAGACCTGGAAGAAGGCTGGTCTCCGATGCCGAGGGGCGGGCCCACAGAGACCAGGGGCTGTTGGGAATGGGAGTGGGGGGCTTAGCGGCAAGGACAAGGACAGGGGACTGGGCATTGGGGTGCATGTTGAGAACCAGTGACACCGTTGGGCCACAGGGAAAGTAAACAGGATTGCCTAAGGGCTGTATGGAATCCGAATATCTCGGAATGGGGCGGGAAGGAGGGGGAACAGGGCCTCCCTGTAGCCCCTGCCCCACCCAGTCTTCTCTCCTGCCCGCTCCCCTCCTCCCCAGTTCTACTCCAGCCTAGAGGGAAAACTGCCCACGTACAACACCCGCATCACCCTGCCCCTTGCCAGTCCCAAGGACAAGTTCTTCGGTCAGTATGGGCAGGAAAAAAACCGGGTCTGGGGGCCCCAGGACATAAGCAGAGAAACGGTCGGTGGGAGGCAGTCCGAGAGCGGGCTAAGGGCCAAGGTGGGGTGAGGTGTAAAAGGCTGGGCAGGGAAATCTGAGGCAGGGATGGGAACCTGGATCCCCTTATCCCTCCCCCCCACCCCTGCTCCCGCTGCCCCACCTCCATAGATGAAGAGGAGACCGAGGACGAAGACAACTTGGTGACTCGGGAGGAGCTCAAGATCCGTTCCCAGAAATTAGTCGAATCTCGCAGCAAGAGGCGCAGTCGCACTCGGAGGCTCTAGACTCTCCCTTATGCCCTCCTGGTCTGGGCACCAGTGGAGCTCCCAACCCCTCTGGGCACAGCCATTTGCCCTCAGGGCCCCTTCGAGGGCTGAGCGAGGCCTGGATACTGGAATAGAGCCGGCCCGTTGGAGCCAGGAGTAAATATCCCCAGGCAACTGTGCCGGTTTTGAATCACGGAATAAAGGTCGCAGACCAGCCTCTAGGGTATTTGCCTCTCCTTGATCATGCACCTCCCCTACAAGGGCTGCTCCTCAAACCCAGGCCGCAGGCTCTGCCCCCCACCGCTGACCTGGGCATTGATGACTCCCATCAACAAGGAACACAGGTGTACCTTCTGCACCCCTCCAGAGAGAGCCCTGACAAACGGCCGACCGGCCCTCCCCAGCTGAGCACAGAGGACTTCCCACCTGGGCACACAAACCGGTCCCCGCCTGATTTATGTACACTAGTTTTCGAATACCTGGGGACACAGAAAAGAGCCCTCTCCTGGGATAGAGAGGTGGCCTTTCTTCCGTGCACAGAATGACACACACCTATAGGGAGAACCAGGACTTCACCCCGAGGGCCTGGACTGGGCACTGGGGTCCAGCTGGGGGCATCCGAGAGCCGTGGGTCCCCGTCCCCCCGCCCCCGCGCGGCCTGTCAGCCCCGCCCCGCGGGCCCCAAGTGCCCCGACACTGCCCGCCGCCAGCGGCCCTTCCGCCTCACTCAGCCTCGCCGCGGAGCGGGACAGGCGCGGGCCATGCTGCGGACAGCAGGGAAGGAGCTTGCCCTGGTAAGGGGACTAGGGGTCCTGGGACCCCACCTCCCTGGACACCCTCAGGTTCAGAAACTCTAGGTGCCCGCCCCCCAGACCCTATCTCCCCGCAGACCGGACCCTTCAGACTCGCCAGGGATTCCCTGCCTCGGGCCTCTTGTCCTCCGACCCAGTGGTTCCTCCTAGGGATGGGGGAGAGGGGGCCAGACACGGGCTCCGGGAGGCGGACCCTGGGACATTCCCAAATGCTACCCCGTCCTCCCAGGACCAGGGAGGAGGGCACGCGCATCGTCGAGGGGACTTCCCTAGTCTGAGTCTTACTAACTCCGGGAAGGCCCGGCCTGTGTCCCCACGGGAGAGGGGAGCCAAGGCCCCGGGACCCGACGCCCCGCGGTGCCCTGACCTCCCGCGTCCTCCGCGTCAGACGCCGCTGCAGGACTGGGGCGAGGAGACTAAGGACGGCGCCGTGTATAGCGTCTCCCTACGGCGGCAGCGCAGCCAGCGCCTGAGCCCGAGGGAAGGTCCTGGGGACAGCCAGGTGAGAAGGGGACTGAAGGGTGCGGCAGGCAGAAGTCCAGGTGAGGGCGGGGTGGAGCAGAGAGGCCTGGAGGTTAGGAGGCGAGAGCTGAGTGGAGGGCGGGAGCTGGGGCCCGAGGGAAGGGCGGGGCTTAGGGGTGGCCAGGTAAGATGGGCGTGCAGTTGAGTGGGGTAGAGGAGTGAGGGGCTGTCAGGTCAGGGCCCGGTTCGCAAGCGGGACCTGTTGGCAGGGGCTAGGTCAGCCAGGTGAATGGGGCGGAGCTGGAGAGGGAGGGGTGGCCTGGGGAGCTCAGGTGGGGCCGAGGGCAGGGACTCGGAGAGCCAGCGAAGCGTAGCTGGAGAGCTGAGAGTAGCCTGGAGGTGGGGGTGGGGGTGGCGGGTAGGGAGTGGGATGGACTAGTGAGTGGCAGCAGAGGGCGGGGCCGGGAGGACAATGGTGTCCAGGGCATTTGTGCACGGTGCAGAATAATAAATCCAGGGGCCAGGTTCGGAGGAAGGGGCAGGATCAGATGCAACAGCAACAGTCCTGCCACAATAGGTGTGATCAGAAAAGAGGTGCTCTGGGGGCCACTGGTCAGCGTGAGTGCCCCTGCCTCGCAGGTCCCCAGCCCCAGTGCCGGCACCTTCCTTCACTACCGCACGAGCAAGGTGCGTGTGCTGAGGGCAGCGCACCTGGAGCGGCTGGTGTGGGAGCTGGTGTCTGTAGACCGTGCGCAGGACCCGAGCTTCGTGCCTGCCTTCCTGGCCACCCACCAGGCCTTTGTGCCCACTGGACGGGTCTTGGGCCTTCTCCTGCCACCACCACCGCCGCCCCTGCCGCTCTGGTCAGTACGAATGGGGGAAACCTCCCTGCTCCCACCCCAGATCCTCGCCCCGGCCCTCCCTTATGTTTACAATTAGGAAATCAGAGCCCTGCTCCTAAGCGCCCCACCACCAGCACCCTTCTTCACCTGGCTGGGGGACTCTTTCCAGGGTAGAGTTCAAGAGGACAGAGGGTCAAGATCTGAGCATCAACAAGAACCTGAGGTTGGTTTCCCTTGGAATGGGGGGGGGGGGTTGTCCTAGAGGTCAAAGGTCAGATCTGAGTTTTGGGGGGCAGGGCTGCAGAACTCCCAGGTGGCCTCTGACACCCTGCTGTTCCGACCAGGGCTGTGGTGTCAGTGCTGGGCTCTTGGCTGCGGGACCACCCTCAGGACTTCTGGGACCCCCCTGCCCACGCAGACCTTGGCAGTGTCCGTACCTTTCTGGGCTGGGCCGCCCCATTTGGGGTTGAGGCCCTGGAAGCGGAGAAGCTGTTGAGAGATTTCCTGGAGGAGGCTGGGCAAGAGCAGGAGGAAGAGGAGAAGCCCCAAGCTTCTGCAGGTGAGGCATTTAGGGAACTGATAGTGCTCTGAGCAGGCCTTTCCTATTTACACCCTCCCCCAGGGGACTTCTCCCCTCAGGGAGCTACAGATCTTGGATGAGGTTCTTAATCCTGCCTGAACCTCAGTTTCCTCACCTATAAAATGGGGATAATAACCCTTTGTCTAACATATTGGCATTTACCTAACACCTCCCTCCCCCCACCCTCCTAACTGCAGAGATATTCCATCATTGGGTCAGGATGCCCTGCATTTTTCTTTTCTTTATTAAAAAAGAATATGTGCCTTTTAAAATATTGTTTTATTTAAAATAAAATTTTTTTTAATCCTCACCTGAGGACATGCTCTCTGATTTTAGAAAGAGGGAAATGGCATCAATGTGAAAGAGGCTGCCGCTCACAGGCACCCCGACCAGGGACCAAACCTGCAACCTAGGCACGTGCTCTGACCAGAAATCAAACCCTAGACATTTCAGTTTATGGTATGATACTCCAACCAGCTGAGCCACCAGGCCATGGCCTGACTGGTTGTTTATAGAAAAATGTACCAACCTCTGTTTTAGAGAGCTTTGTGGGGGAGAGAAAAATATCCACATACATCATTCAGCTCTTTGTTCAGTTGTCATCTCCTCAGACGTGATTTCTCTCATCCCTTCCCAACAAGTATATTCTCCCTTTCCTTTTGGCCTGCTTTATATTTCTGCATAGCACTCATTAGTTTTGTCCCCACCTCTGTCCCTGGAGGCAGGAAGAATGCAGATTCATTGACTGAATAATTGCATCCTGTTTATAAAGTATCATCTTTCACCCATCTGTGTTCCATCTGATTCCTATCACAAAAGCGTTTATATCCCTAATCCTCATCCTTCAATATACTGTATCCCTCCATCTTTCCTCATGTTTATTGAGTGTCTTTCTTCCTCTGCCTTCAGGATTTTACCAGCTGATTCCAAATCATTAGAACTGCACAGTCCAATGCAGTAGCCACTAGCCCCAGGTGGTATTGAAAGTAAACCTAGATTAATTATGTTAAAAATGAACATTGAGCCCTGGCTGGTGTGACTCAGTGGTTTGACTCCCAGTCAAGGTGCATGCCTGGGTTGTAGGCCGATCCATGTATCTCTTGCACATTGATGTTTCTCTCCCCCTCTTTCTGCTCCCCTTCCCCCTCTCTGAAAGTAAATAAATAAAATCTTTAAAATAAAATAAAATAAACTCAGTTCTTCCGTTGCAGAAGCTACCTTTCTAGAGCTCAGCAGGCACATCAGACAGCACAGATAGAATATGCTTTCACCATTACAGAAAATTCTTGAAAATGCTGCCTTATTGCTTCTCGGCCTTTTGGCTAAGATCAAGTGTAGAAAATGCTGCCCTAAGCTATGAGTTCTTGAGGTCAGAGGAGAAAATGGACATTTATTAAACACCTACTGTGTTCCAGGCTCTGGGAACCTAACATCTTTATTTCGGGGTAATTTTTTACTATAGAAGATTTCAGACATACACAGAAGTAGGGAGAATAGTATAAAGAACACTCAAATACCCATTACTCACCTTCAACAATGATCAATTTGAGAAGAAAAAAATTTCCAGGATGATTTGAAGGCAAATCTCAGATCTATGTTACTTCACACATCAATACTTTGGTTTACTCCTCTAACTGACAAGGACTTTAAAAAATATATAACTTTCATGCCCACAATCATTTCCAACAAAATCAGGAATAATTACTTAATATCAAAAAATACCCAGTCTGTAGTCAAATCCCCCTATTGTCCCTAAATTGTCTTTTTTACAATTGTTTCTTTGCAACACAAAGATCCATTTAAGGTATTCTGTTGTGTTTCTTGGGTCCCTTTTATTCCATGACAGTTCACCTTTGCCTTTTGTTTAACGCCAATAGGGAAAAATGGCATTAAATGAGCAATGTGAGACATTTGTCTGGAGCAATGTCTCACATTCTTCTTCATTTGCCTGTTTGCTTTCTCATGGCACTATGTGATATGTTCCTCTATCCCCCGTATTTGCTGTAAGATCTAAAGGCTTGAATAGATTCAGGTGTAATTTTTTTCCCCATTGCCACTTTTTAAACTATTATTTTGCAATGTCACCTGTCCTAATATGAAATGAAAGACTACTAATAAGCAGATTTATACAGATAATTTTAAAATAATAATATGATGCTGTAACTGTAATACAAAGAAAAATAAAATGAAAGCAGCTTACACAATAAACTGCGCTTGCGGCCGTGTCTGCGCTCAGGCACGCCTCCCTAGGAGGCATGGTGAACTTTTGCTGTAGCATCATGGTCAACGTGACAGGCACACACACCCGCTAATGCAGGGGCGTGCACTGGCGACACAGAAGCAGCGGCATAGATGTTGGTGACATCATTTTCCAAAACGCTGAACACCACTTGCAATTTCCAAACAGAACAGAGTTCAGAGTTTCACAGTCCTTGAGTTCCTGGAGTCAAAATAATTAGTGTTTATGAGCAAGACAGTTGGGTGTTAGATGCGGATTACTGTAAACAGGTTGTTCAAGGACACAAATGAATGGAAAAAGAAAGAATAAATAAATAAGAGAAAAATAGAATAAACCAAAAAAGGGGGGAAAACAAACAAAAAGGAACAAGGACACAGATGTCTTAGACATTTGGAGCCTGGGTGACAGAATTCCACACAGTGCAGGACAGCCCATCCCTGGAGCAAGATTCCAACTTCTAAAGTGCCCCCTGGGGATGCCATTGAAAGCCCGTTCATCATTCATATTGTAGCAGCCTGGTATCCATGATCTTATTTGATTTTTGAAAAAGAAATGCAGATAAAGAAAACAAGGCACAGAGAGGTTTAAAGGCTTGTTTTAGTTCGCACAGGAAGACAGTGGACAAGTTTGAATTTGAACTTGGCACTTTCTGACAGTAACCTTCCCTTAATCCCTCTCACCGTAAGAAAAGGGCAGAAGATGTTATCCTAATAAAGTCTTAAAGTCGTAAAGCTCTATTTTCTTTCTTTTTTTTTTAAATAATGTCTCACTGTTATTATTTTTTTATTTGTGGATTTTAGAGAGAGGGAGAAAAATGCCAATTTGTTGTTTCACTTATTTGTGCTTTCATTGGTTGATTCTTGCATGTGCCCCAACCTTCCTGGCTATGGAGATGCTGCTCTAACCAACTGGCCTGTCAGGCCACGGCCATAAGGCTCTATTTTCTGTCTTTGAGCGCCTGGCTTCAAATTCCTGCCCTGTCATTTACTAAGGAGACTTAGGGTAGATTGTTCCTGTCTCAGTTTCTCCACCTGTAGAAGGTGGATAATAGTACCTGGCTTACTAGTAAGTGTGCTAAATTGCAGACTTAATCCACACTAGGTGCTCAGTGAAGGTCACTCTTGCTCTGAAGTCCTCACAAACATTCAGGGAGGTCTTCATTTCACAGGTGAGCGAGCAAAGCGAGGCTCAGGAGTGCTAAGGGGCTTGCGCTAGGTCACACAGCCAGTCCTGGGTTCACACTTGAGAATTTTTAACCCTCTCTAATTAGCTCCCTCAGGACCTCCTGGAACTGCGCCGACTCTCAACCTGGACTCCCCTGAAGGCTGCTCAGAAGAGGAGGAAGGGTTGGTCCAAGAAGGCCCTGAGCTCCTGGACTTCAGTGTAGACAAGGTGGCTGAGCAGTTGACTCTGATGGATGTGGTGAGGATGCCGGAGGGGCGCGGCGGCGGCGGTGGTGGGGGCAGTTGGACCCGAAGGGCAGCTTGTCTAGCACGGATTCTAATCCCCCAGCCCTCCAACCCCCTCTCTCAGGAGCTTTTCTCCCGGGTGCGGCCCTGGGAGTGCCTGGGCTCCGTGTGGTCGCAGCGGGATCGACCAGGGGCCGCGGGCACCGCCCCCACTGTGCGCGCCACTGTGACCCAGTTCAACATGGTGACCGGCTGCGTATTGGGCTCGGTGCTCGGGGCGCCGGGCCTCGCCACCCCCCAGAGGGCCCAGCGGCTGGAAAAGTGGATCCGCATCGCCCAGGTGCTTGCTATAGGGGAGGGAATCTGCGGGCCGGAGCGGGAGGCAGGTGAGGAACAGAGAGAGGCAGGGGGGTGGGCGGTAAACGGTGGAACACGGACTGGAGTTTGGGAACTTGGAGGGCGTTGAGACGGAAGGTGCTAAAGGAAAAGTCTAGGAGAAAGCCGTGCCAGGCTGAGGCTGGGACAGCCTAGAGACACTGGGTGGGTCTTAGGATAAGAGGATGGGATGGCGGGTGATGGGGCGGGAATGGGATGAAACCCAGAGTCGGGGGGTGGGGGGGGCGGTCCTGAAAACGACTGGGATCGGGTGGGGCAGGAACCCAAAGAGAGAGTCGGCGGTGGCAAGCAGGAGGGGAGCCTGGCCCGAGACTCGGATTCAGGGAGGAGGGGGCTGCGTCCTGGACAGGTGCTGTGGGCGCATCTAGTGCCCAGGGAAGAGTAAGAGTGGGGACAAGAGAAGCCAAGATCAGAAGGAGGGGATGGAGGAGCCCCTGGGAGAGGGGCTGGGGCTGCAGGTTGGGAGAGGGAGGAGCTCCTGGAGGAGAAACTGAGTCTTAGTAGGTTGTCAGATGCGGGGCCAGCAGTCACGAGATTCTAGAAGGCGGATTGTACCTGGTCAGGCTTGGGGTCTGACCAGCGCCCCGACCCTGCCCCCAGCGCTGCAGGGAACTGCGGAACTTCTCCTCCCTGCGCGCTATCCTGTCCGCCCTGCAGTCCAACCCCATCTACCGGCTCAAGAGCTGCTGGGGCGCCGTGGGCAGGTGAGCAAGAATGGGGAGAGGAGCTGCGGCGAGACCTCCTCCCTGCCCAATCGCGGCCTGACCCTCCCAGCCACCAACCCCTGACCCCTCTCCTGTCCCCCACAGGGAACCGTTATCCACTTTCAGGAAACTTTCACAGATTTTCTCCGATGAGAACAACCACCTCAGCAGCAGAGAGATTCTTTCTCAGGTACAGAGGCCCCGGAAGGGAGCCCGGCGGGGGGAGGGGGGGCAGGCAGAGATTGTCCTTGTCCTAACACTCAGCTGTCCTGTCCCTGCACTGCAGGAATGACCTTGCCCGTGTGCGTGGGCCGCCCCACGTTTTTACTGCCTCTGCTGCCCTCATGATAGCTCACACTTGGTAACTGCCTTATTTATTCATTCAACAAATACCAGAAGTTACAAGAAAAAGGTCGCTTAAGGCTAGAATCATAGCAAAGAGTGAAACAAAAAATCATGTGAGGGACTTTTCGTTAATAAGCAAAACTAAAAAATGTGTGCCCACAGATCAGACTTACTGTAGGCAAGACTGCAGCTCTACATGCAGTTAGGTGCTGGTTTTAGGGTGAGTCCGGAACACATGGGACGCTCTTCACATTCACCTCGTGCAGGTCTCTCCCCAAATGTCTCCCTCGGAGAGGCCTTCCATGCGCCTCCCCAGCACCTCCATACACTCCGCCCCCACCTCCGCCCCCCCCCTTTATTGCTCTTATCTCTAAGAGTGCTTAATTACAAGCGAAGTTAGGTTGTTTCTCTCCCTTCCTCATGTCTGCTCCACAAGTCCAAGGTTTTTCTCTGTTTTGCTCACTGCTGCTTCCCCAGGACACAGAACAATGCCTGGCCCAGAGTCGGCGCTCAGTAAATATCTTGAGTGAATGAGTATTTCACAGAAGGATGATCTCAAGGAACAAGGAGCACTGCATTAAGCACCTACTGTGTACCAGACACTATGCCAGAAGTCTTGGCCATGAACCAGAGAGACACAGTTCATACCCTGGGGAGATTTAGGCTCCAGACGGGGAGACACACAGGACAATAATAACTGCCCCAGTAAGGACATATAATTAATTACCAGGCAGAGCAACACTATGAAGGCAAGGGTCGGGGCATTCCCAGGGCACTGCCTGAGGGCCTGTTCCCGCAAGCCTGGGACAAGGATTCTCCACTGTGTTGAGACTGTCCCTGGGAGCCATGGCATCCACAAGCCCCATCTCTGGGCGCCCCAGTGGGGGCCTGCCCCCTGCCACTTATCTGCTCTCTCCCTCCCTCCCTCCCTCCCGTTGTTCACTTTCCTTTGAGTATGGCCTTTGCAACTGGTTTGTGATGGCTAAAAGCAAAATGGGTGTGTACTGAGGTATCTTCCCTGAAGGAGAGGTCCAAGAGACCCCAGGATCGCTCAGTGCTTCCCCTGCCCCCAGGAGGAGGCCACTGAGGGACCCCCAGAGGAGGATACTCCCCCAGGAAGCCTGCCTCCAGTGAGTGACGGTGGTTTGGGCGGGGGACTAGTGGGGCTCTCATGGAAGGGGATGATGGAGCTTGATGGGGCCATGATGGCTGAGAGTGACTGGAGCTCTGGGGGCCACAGAAATTGCCCCCAGGTCCGGTCCCCTATCTTGGCACCTTCCTCACGGACCTGGTCATGCTGGACACAGCCCTGCCGGACATACTAGAGGTGCGACTCCTGACTCTTGACCCCAGCACCCCTTGCCCTCAGCACAGTGGGCCTCCAGACATCCGGCCCTTGACCCTACCTGCACTCCTGACCCCAGTCCCCTTAGTACAGTGGGGCTTCTGACATCCCCACCCCTGACCTTGACCCTCGATCAATCCTTGACCCTGGAGACTCCAGTTCAGACAAAGTTTGCCCCCAGGGGGATCTCATCAACTTTGAGAAGAGGAGGAAGGTGAGCGGGCACTTGGGTGAGTGTGGGAGGGGCCCGGGTGGGGTAAGGGTGGGGGTGAGGTCTCAGAAGCCATACCCTCAGGAGTGGGAGGTCCTGGCCCGGATCCAGCAGCTACAGAAGCGCTGTCGGAGCTACCGCCTGAGCCCGTGCCCACCTGTCCTGGCTGCCCTGCGTGCCCAGCGCCAGCTCAGTGAGGAACAGAGGTGACCCTGTGGCCTGACCCAGCCCCACCTCGCAGACCCCGGATTACACACTGGTTTCGCCTAAGACCCGCCCCGCTTCTTGAGCTCTGACCCCCAAACTGTGACCTTGCATTATCTCCAGCTCAATTGAGGGCCTCAGATGACCTCTGACCTCAAATTTGACTCCATTTAACTTTCTGACTTCAACCTTTAACGTACAGCTGGCTATTCGACCATCTCATCTGTTTTCTTCCCACCTCTGACCCTGACCTGTGACCCATTCATGACCCCCTCCATCTGACTCTCTGAGCCCAGTCACTAACCTCCAACTTCAAGTAACTGACTCCAACTTGGACATAAATTTGAATATCCAACTCAACTCTCCCAATTATTTCCTTCTATTCTATTGAATCCATGACCCTAACTATTGAACCCAATGATTACCTGACCTCGAATTCTATTCTTGACCCAATTTGAGCTGTGGGCACCCAGGGCTCTTCAGTCTCACCCCGTGAATCCCTGTGTGACCTGCCAGCCAAGCTATCCCATCTAATTTCTAATAAGACCCTACTTTATGATCTCATTTACTACCCTGACTCTTGTATTTGGTGCCCAGCACTTGGCTGTTTCTCACAGTGCCCAGAACCCAGATCCCAACTGATTTTAACTCTCATCCTCCAAACCTCCCCCCACCTGCACCTTGATCCCTCAGCTACCGCGTCTCCCGTGTCATTGAGCCACCAGCTGCCTCCTGTCCCAGCTCCCCGCGTGTGCGGCGACGAATCAGCCTCCCCAAGCGTCTCAGTGCGTGAGTCTTGGGTGGGGGTGGTATGTGGGGTGATATGCCCAGAGGTGGGCGGGCTGCTCCAGGGGCTGAGTCTGGCCTTATCCTCATTCTTTGTCCCCATCCTCAGGAAGTTGTCCCGAGAGAGAGGCTCATCCCCTGGTGGGAGTCCTGGGGACCCCTCATCCCCTACCTCCAGGTGAGCATCTCTCTTAGCGAAGGGATTGGAGATAACAGGGTCAGAGGTCGGGGTAGCTACAGCACCTCAGGCTCTATGTCTCTCCCAGTTTGTCCCCAGGGTCTCCCCCATCCAGCCCCAGAATGAGGGACCCTCCTCCTGGAAGTCCCCCAGCCTCTCCAGGGCCCCTGGGCCCCAGTACCAAGGTACCAGGACTGCCTGTGGAGCTGTGGGCACCCAGGGCTCTGCGTGTGTGTGTGTGTGTGTGTGTGTGTGCGCGCGCGCAGTGTACAGGATTTTAAGGCCAGGCATGTACACAGGAGATTGTACTCATGCTTGACTTCGCCCTCAGGGTGTCCGTCCAAGGTGCCATGTACACTTTCATAGTCCTGATTGAGGAATTGTCCCTACATCTGAATTGTGCTCAGATGTAGACCCGTGCGTCTGCTCGCCCACAGGGCACTCCCAGATGCAATCACACACTTTTGTGAGAATATGCATGTCACCACGAATTTGCATTCCTAAAGGGGAAATGTGGGCATGAATATCCACAAATCCACAGGACCATGTGCAGGGCTATTCATGGACCTGGACTTGTGTGTGTACAACTGTGAGCATATGTATGTACACACTGTTCTGTGTACACAGCATTTCTTGTGTGTGAACATGGGTTTGTGTGTTTATCAATTGTGTAAATTTGTGTAACAGGGAGTAAAGGTCTGTATGTGATGGATTGTACACATGTAGGCTTGTGTGTGGGTGTCCTAATTGTGTGTCCCCTGGCTCTGGGTGTGTAGGGGCATGTGTTGAATACATTCACGAGGAAGGGGCTTAGTGCGCTCCCACTGCTCAGCCCCCACCCCCTACTGCCTACAGATGCCCCTGGCCTTGACCCTGAGCTGCCCGGTGGGGCAGCAGGGCTCGGAGGCCCGAGTCATCCGAGTCAGCATCGACAACAACCATGGGAACCTGTATCGGAGCATCCTGGTGAGGAGCTAGGCCAGGGACCTGCTGGGGGCAGCCCTGCCGTCGGGGGTCCGGCCGCCACACCTCACCTTCCACTTCTTTTTCCCAGCTCACGAGTCAGGACAAGGCCCCCAGTGTGGTGCAGAGAGCCTTGCAGAAACACAACGTGGCCCAGCCTTGGGCCCACGACTACCAGCTCTTCCAAGTCCTTCCTGGGGACAGGGGTGAGCAGGGACAGCTTGGAGCCTTGGCTGGGGGGCTGCTGGGCTCTGAGGTGGCACAGGCATAGAGTAAGGAAAAGATGAAGCAGGGTGGGGGTAAAAGGCAGTAAAATATTTGTTTTTCAATTACATGGCTCCTGCGGTTATCCTGGCTCAGTGTGAGGCAAGGGGACACCAAAGGTGTCTTCCTAGGATTTATGGGGAAATGAGATTGTTCAGGGTTCAATGGAAGGGACTGTAGAGGTTTGTCTGAGCTTAAGTGTACGGGATCATGAGGCTGTTCATGCTCGTTCTGGTGGGGCGCACGAGTGAAGAAGGCCTGGGCTCTGTCTGAGGGGAAATGAGTTTGTCCAGGTTCAGTGCGAGGACTCTGAAGTTATCTGAACTTGGCATAGGAGAAGGCCACAAGGCATTGAAATTCAGGTAGGGGAGCATGAGGTGGTTCAGTGTAGGAGGTTGCCTAGTTTTTGCAAGGGAGAGGCAAGGTTGCTGTATTAAAGGGTGTGATCTGAGCAGGTGGTTGGACATTAGGAAGGAATATAGGAGGTTCAGGTGTCAAGGGCCCCAGGTTGTGCAGGCTGGAAGTGGGAAGTCAGAAGTTATCCAAGTTCATGGTAAGAGCAGCATGAACTTGGCTGGGAACTGGGTGTGAGGGAGGGTGGGGTAGGAAGAAAGTTGTTTGGAATGGATGGCCTGAGTTTGCCGGAGCCTGTAGCGTAGATAGTCCAGACCCCAGAGGAAGTGGCAGGAGTAGCCCAGGTTCACGGTGGGGAGGAAACCTGAGGTTGTACAGCCTTCAAGAAAGAAGTTGTCTAGGTTCCCAGTGAAAGAAGAATGAGGTTGGCTTAGCCCTGATGGAAGAGGCTCAAGGTTGTTCAGGCCCCAGGGTGATTGGCAGAAGGCAACCTAGGTCCCTTGTGGGGGAAGTATGAGGTTGTGCGGGCCTTTCATTATTATGTCCACGCCTGACCAGAGCTCCTGATTCCTGACAACGCCAACGTCTTCTATGCCATGAGTCCAGCCGCCTCTGGAGACTTCATGCTGCGGCGGAAGGAGGAGGCCCGGCACACAACCTCCGTCTCCGCAACCTGAGTTGGCCCTCTCCTTCCTCCAGGACACAGGTCCCATGGGTGGCTTCTATCACCATGGGGCAGGGAGGGCACTCCCATTCCCCACTAGAGCCCACTGTGCTCCGTACCCTGTGGCCCCTCCCCACCAAGTTTATTGGACTCCATCCCTTTGACCTTCCTGGCACTGGATCCCTATTCCAAAGCCATCAGCTCACAGGGTGGCTGGTGGAGAACTCCATTGCATGCTGGGAGGGTCAGACCCTTCCCCAGAGAAATCTTGTAACTGTTGGAGATGCATCAGAACTGAGAGAAGCAGATGAAAACAGTGACCAGAATTATGAAACAGGAGTCAGTCTTCTTTCTTTGGTGCCTGTGCTTCATGTTCACTCTTCATTAAGATAAAAACGTAAAAGGAAAAAACTAAGAGCCCTAAAAAAGGGGTTGGGTGAAGCATGACCAAACACTGGAAGAGGGTGGCTGTCATACACACAGCTTTCAGAAGTCCCTCCCCCATCACTTTTGGAACGATATGCTTCTTTTCTGCTGTGTACATGGGAGATGAAAAAGTGAAATTCCAGTGGAATCAGAGACGAATAACATCACCCCCCTCAGTCAATAAGAGCTCTGGGGATGAAAGGAGAAGTTGAGCCATCTATTAATACTGGGGTAGGAAGAAAAAACAGGTAAAGAAGGCAGAGATGGAGTGAGTTGTAGGGCCACGTACAACAGAGTCAACAATAATAATAATAATATGCCCACTTATTAACTCCACTCTGTGCTTGACAATAACTAGGGCCTTTATATTTCACTGCATTAGGATTCTTTATGTTTCAAGTGGTCAAAAATCCAATTCAAATAGGCATGTGCCAAAAAGGAAATTAATAACTCGTGTGATTGAAAAGTTCAGTGAGTTCAGCTTCAGGTACAGTTGGATCCAGGAACTCAAAAGCTGTCATCAGGATTTTATTGCTGCTTCTTGGCTCTACTTTTGCTCTAAGAATAAAATTGGCCATTGTACCCTCAAATCCAATCACCTTCTATGGTGATAGAACCAGTGATTTTTACCTAGTCACCCCAAAATTTTTTTTTAAATGTATTTCCAGTATCTATTGCAGCAAAAGTGGTCATGTGACTAGGTCCTGGACAGTGAAATGTAAAGGGAAAGAATGTGGGTAAATCCTATGTTCTGCCCTTAAAGACAAGTCCTCCCCTTTCTCCTTTTCTGCCTCCTGCTGTTTAGAGCGAATCATTTTGGGTGTTTTTTTTTGTTGTTGTTGTTGTTTCTTTTTTTTTCATATACATTTGTCTCTGCCTTCCCCCTAGAGTGAATCATTTTGGATTGAGCAGTTCACATTCTCTAAGTAATTGAGCAACAAATTGAAAAGAGCATGGCTATCTGAGACCAGGGAGCTGCCATCTTGTATTAGCTGCTACCTGGGTTGACACATACGAGAGAGAGAAATGTTTATCTTACTTGAACCACTGCTATTTGCGTCTCTGTTACAGTCACCTGAAGAACACTTTAAGTAACACAGCCCCACTCCAAGGCAGGCCCACACCTCTTGGGTGCAGCACCAAGCTTATACCCCACCACTTCTGCCCTCCCATGCTTGCCAGGAGAACTAATGCATTTTTCCCATCAAGTCAAGCTGAAGTCCCATAGCCAATGCCCATTGGACCAACTTGTATCACATAGCCACCCCGAACCAATCGCTGTTTAGAGGAATGTAACATACTAATTAGCCAGGCCTGGGTCCTGCGCCCATCCTTTGAGCTGGCAGAGAAACTTCACATCACAGAAGTGAAGTCTGGAAGGGCACAAAAATGGAAATTACATTTGGAGGCTGTTACTAGGAGAAGGGACAATTCTGGTGAATGGACAAAAATAATTCCTAGGGTTGTAAACATTGTCCTTGGAGCAATCATGGGGGTTGCTCAGGCCCTGTCTGGGGTGGGAGAGGAGATAGAAGAGTCTAAACATCTTGCCCTGGCTGGTATGGCTCAGTGGACTGAGTGCCGGCCTGCGAACTGAGGGATCTCCAGTTTAATTCCCAGTCAGGGCACACGCCTGGGTCGCGGGCCAGGTTCTCAGTCGAGGGTGCGTGAGAGGCAACCGATGGGTGTTTCTCCAGCACATCGATGTTTCTCTCCCTCTCTGCCCCTCTCTCTAAAAAATAAATAAAATAAGCATGACGTAGCGTCTGGTAGAAGACAGTAGCAGTACACAACCTGATTTTGGGGGAGTGAGGGGTTGCTATGAATATTATGACCTTAATACTAATTGGATATAAGTAACAATATCTTGAACTAGCTTAAATAATAAATGCTATATAATGTAGTATGCCAATTATATCTCAATAAAAATAAAATAATTGCTATCCTTACCGAGTGCTTACTATGTGCCAGGCTGTATTCTAAGATCTTGATATAATCTATCTCATTTAATCCTCATAATAGCCCCATGGAGTAGGCACTATTATTTCCCCCATTTTATACATGAAAAACTGAGACTAGGGAGGATTGAGCAATTTAACCATGGTGGCATGGTAAGTGACAAGGCTGGGGTGCGATGTGACAGAACATGTGCCCTTCACACTGAGCTAGTTGGTCTCTCACGATCACAGTTTACATGCAGGGGTGTCCAACCTACGGCCCGCAGGCCGCGTGCGGCCCAGGATGGCTACGGATGCGGCCCAACACAAATCATAAATTTACTTGAAACCTTTTTTTTTTGCTCATCAGTTTTTGTTAGTGTTTGTGCACTTAATGTGTGGCCCAAGACAACTCCTCTTCTTCCCGTGTGGCCCAGAGACGCCAAAAGCTTGGACACCCCTGGTACGGCTTCGGCCTTCCCTCTCACACACACAGTCCAAATGCCAATTTCCTGAGGAAGAGATTATCACTGAATCACTTCTGTTCTTTATAATTGCAGGGGGGTACTCAGGCACAGCTGTATCCAATGATTAACACAAGGTCAACTATATCTTTACATTTCTTAGCTGGACTTTTCTCGAATCTTTGTACATATTTCTTGGGCTCCTACTGTGTGCCATTAATGAGGGCAGTGAATCAATGACAAAACATCATACATGTCAGGTGATAGCAAGCACAACGGATGCAAAATATAATAAGACGTTTAAGGGCAATGGCAAGTGTGGGATAGGAGGGTTGTGATTTTTAAATAGGATAATCAGGGAGGGCTTTACTGAAGAGGTGACATTTGGGCAGAGGCCTGAATAAAGTGAAGGAGCGACCCCTGATATTTAGAGGAAGAGCCTTCCAGGCAGAGGGAACAGATGGTGCAAAAGTCCATGTTAACTTTACCATCTGGCAGTTTCTTCCCTCCTAATGGCAAAGATGTTCCCGGCTGCTCCATCCGCCCACCTTGTCCCCTAGTAGAAAGTGACACCCCCTTTCCAAATAAGACCAGGTAAAGTCCCAGGTTAGAAGCTCATTGATTGCATTTGGATCACATGCCCACTCTGAACCAATCACTGTGCTCCAGGGAATGGAGTGTTTAATTGGCACTAATCTGGCGCTGGCAGGAGCAATCAGGTAGGTACCACCCCCTCCTCAGGCATGTACCTCCGTGGGCTGTTTACCCCAGTTCAAACTCAGCCCAAGCGAATAGTTTTTATGGCTTGTTCTATAATTACTTCCCACATTATTAAAAGAACTGCATACTCCTTGTAAAGTAAAACCAGAGTATACACATGTAAACAGTAAATTCCCCCCCAAAAAATCACAAAATATCACACTCCAGAATATATGGAATTTTACTAATACAGGACCAATTACGATTAATATTTATTTCTACCCAGACTGGGCAGAGATGTTAATACGATAATATCAGTAGTTTACATTTTTGAAATGTTTGCTATATACCAACCCAAATTTTACAGATGAGCAGACCGAAGCTCAGATAAGGTAGGTCACCTGTCCAGGTTACACAGCAAGAAAGTGTTTCTGACGCACAAACCAGAGCTATTCTCGTCCCCGAGAGGCAGCGGGGCCTAAGAGGGCCTCTGTCCCCTCCCGCGGGGCCTGGCAGGGCTGCCGCCTCCTGCTTATCTCAGCCCAGGCTGCCTGTTTGTCCCGCCCCTTCGGGGGAGCTGCCACTTGGAGACGCCTGGCCGGGAAGGGCCTGGTCAGCTGTGTCCGGCGGAGGCAGCTGCTGACCCAGCTGCGGACTGTGCCAGAGGTGAAGGAAGCGTGGGGCAGGAGCTCTGGGCCCCCCGCGGCGGGGGCTGCATCATGGATCACCTCGGGGCGCCCCTGTGGCCTGGAGTCGGCTCCCTCTGTCTCCTGCTCACCGGGGCCGCTTTGGCTCCCCCTCCTAATCCCCCGGGCCCCAACTTCGAAAGCAAAGGTAAGAAAGAATGGAGCTGTGTGTGGACCCTTACACCGAGTCCCGGAGAGCAATGCTGGGGCCTGAATTTCCAACCTCGGTCCTAGGGACCAAGCTGGTGATTGAACACCTACAGCGGGTTCTGGTGGGGTATGACTGGTCTAAGTCCCCAGACAGGGCTCTGTGGGGGGAACGCTGGAAAGAAAAGTAAGTTTCCTGTTTTATCTTTTCAGGGAGCCTGGGACATGCTACATCCTAATGGGGCAGGAGTGGTACTGGGTCTGGACTGCGCGGTCTAGAGTCCCTGAGGGGAGAGGACCTAGCGGACTCTGCAGTAGGGGAGGGAGGAAAAAGTCCAGGTCCGAGTCAGAGGGGCCGGGCGGCAGTAGACTGTAAACACGGTCTGCGTGCGGGCACCAGGTCCCTTGTGCCGCTGGGTTGAGGGAGGGGGGCGGGGGGCACGGTTGGCGCTATCAAGCAGCCAGGAGCCTGCCTGGGCCGATAGGGAGCCCCGCCTCCTCCACACACACCCACTAGCTCGCAGGTCTTAGGCTGGAGCCGGCCGGGCAGCGGGAAACGGAGTCCTTGAACGCTGCGCTCAGTTCAGCGGGTTGCGGGGCGGGCGGGTAGGTGTGGGGGCGACAGTAAGGCAAGTTACTTGTGCCTGGGAGTTGGGGAGGCACCACATCCGCGTACCCCTCCGGGGCCCCGCTGGGGTACAGAGCTGGGTGGGGCTTTTGTTTTATCAGTACGCACAGGCGGCGGGAAAGAGGGGGAGGGCGCTGTGGTC